TTACTGGTCTTAAAATCAAGACCAAAAACAGGCCGTTGAAAACTAGGCAAACAGCAAACAAAGAAACAAAAAAAAAAGATAAGTAAGCCTTAGGGCGAAACTTGTATAAGCTATACCTAAGGCTGCCTGTTGTTAAACGCACCCAACAGTCGTCAATTGGAGCAAATATTTACAAAAGTAAAGAAAAACCCTGATTGCTTTCGAGATCAATAGGTCTATGTTGTAAATCGTAATCGTTGCGGACAAAAACTGCATGTCTACAAAATATGGGATTATTTTGGGGCTAAGGGCCTAAGTCCTTTTCATTACTCCTTTTTTTTTTTTTTTTTTTAAACCCAATATAAAAAAAAATTTTATATATATAGATATATATATATATATATATATATATATATATATTTAAATAGTTTTTTTTACATTTCATTGCTTAAACTTTTTTAAGCAGCAGGAAGATGAAAACTGCTCTTTATGGCAGTGCATTTTGCTCGCTTTGCAAATCGAATGAGAAAATTAATATACTTGCACACTTTTGAGTGGTTTGTGAATGACTGTAAACATAAGTTTACAAATAACAAATGGCCATTAGGTAAGCACAGTCATTTCTATAGAAATTGTCGTCTAACTTGTCCATGACAATCAAGTCAATTTGCTATTAAATTGACTGAAAATTCTATAATAAGAAAAAAAAAAAAAAAAAAAAAAAAGATGAAAAAAATACAAGAAAAGGAAAATGTGTACTAAGAGTAGTTAACCGAACACGAATACCACAGCAGCGCAATCAATTGAAAAAAAAAAAACAAAAATTATTCTTAGACAGTGGAAAATAAATTATGTGACAGACTGGCAGGCAGTTAACAATATTCGAAAAGCATCAAGCAATGCCAAACATTATTCAAAGCCACAATATTCCATAGATATTTAAGATATTGAAACTTGTCAGGGAGAGAAGAAAAACTCTCTTTAATTTTGTCCCCATCAACTATTTATAGGTCAGCAGTAACAAGCTGATTGTCATCCATTAAAGTTTTGTAAAAATTAAGTAAAAATCGAAATAATTTATTTTTATGCGTAAAGCTTTTACCACAAGTGCCATGATGTGCTTCTTCTTCCGCATTTGTAGTGATTATATGTGTATGTCGAATGGAGTCGAGTCAATTTAGCGCAAAAGATTTAATTAATACTTAACTTGACTTTGTATTGCTAACAATTGCTTTTAACAATTCCGAAATCCTTGGTCAGGTGTTAAAGCAGATGAACGCGCACTACACCGGCTGTAATGCATGATGTGCTGCAAACGCTTTTGTATTAATAATGTACATATCTCCTCGAATACGAAAATATATACAATTTCGTTTATGTTATGTTATGATTGCCATCGTACCGTTACTACATCACTACTGTATTGTACTACTATTACTGAGAATTCGCACACTGTAGAAATGACAACAAGTAATCATAATTCTCTATCATAACAAACTATCATATAAATGTAAAATATGTGGTGGCATGTTTAGCTAGTAGGTGAAGAAATACTTGGAAATCGAATATCGTAAGTTTCATAGAACTAGCATTAAATTGTCGGAATGTTGTCTTTCAATTAGCAATCGCTGCATATCATATATATATATATATATATATATGACGAGGTGAAAATAAACCGTTTCGATCATTGTTAGATCTTGTATGCCCGAAATTTCGCATATACGATATATTTTCGTTATTTTTGTTGCTTTAGATGCTTTATCCATCTAAGGCTTACACACTACTACTTACTATGAGTGTTAGTTAAGTATGGCGCTTATTCGAGTCTGGGGGCGTAAGAGGAAATGAACGCGTATTATTTCAACTACTGGTTTTATTGGTAACGCTTCAACTCGAGATGTGTTCAAATTGCGTTTTGTTGGTTACAAAGGAAAAAGAAATGATTGGAAAATTGCTAAAATAGAAACTTGTTTTCTTCTTTCTTTTGGTAATGTGGTAAGAATGTGAGGAGAGAAAAATGTTTTCCGTTTTTGGGGCTAAGGGAAAAAGTGGTTTTAAGTGTAGTGTAATTTTGTAAAATTTCTAAAAATTTTCACAATTTCAAGACAATTTTTTTTTTTCCCAAACATTTGCAAAGAGCGACCATTTTCTTGACCTTGGCAGATTAGGAAGGAAGACACATTAGTCGGATTAGTATATTTCCAGTTTTTATATGGCTTTGAGTGAAGTTCGGAAGTCTGTTAAGCCGATAATAGACAATTTGCATTCATCTCTTTCGTTGAACATTTTCGCAAAAAAAGTGTTTTTTTTTTTTTTAATATTAAAACGTGAACGGCAAACTTTTAAACTGAACGCATTGTGATCGATTGAAATATTGACAATAAAGTTTGTTTTGAATGTGTGTCGTTTCGAATGCTAAAAATAAGCAATTCCTATGATGGATGAGCTTCATTTTACTTCAATATTTTAATGGTCTGTCGAAATCACTTGATCTGCCGGTGAGAATGGATACTCTTCTTAAAGAAACTATAGGGGGGATGTGGAAGGATGTCTGTTTGGAGATATTTTTTAATAAAGTTCTCTGTTCAGGCAGTTCAAGGTCCATGTGTGCGTTTGAACAGGTATGTGCATATTCTTGTGAATCAGCATTGTACATTTCTCTTTGAACATTTGGACTATTTAGGGGGAAAAATCAGCTAGCACTCGAAGAAGTATAGATAAGCTAAACATAACAATGGCTTATTGGCCAGAACTTTTGGGAACGACGGGTATCCCAGGCAGCCTAAATGCTTGCAAAATGCCTGCATATACTGTCCTTTTCCTCACTGCTGGAATTGACGGTTTCGGATTAAATCCGAATTAATGTACTGGTGCAATTAAAATCAATCTAGACAATCGGGAATACTCTGCCGTTGAAGAAGACTAACAAGATAGTGGCTACAACTGGATAGGCATTCACCGATGTGTTTTGGAATATTTCAAAATAATGAAGAAGCGCGCCTAGCAGCAACGAAAACGGCTTAGAGACAAAGAACTTAGGACAACGTTGAATGAATTATGGGAATTGTGGTAATCCCTTGAAAGTGGACAAAGGACAAATGAATTATTTTGAAGCATTTAAGTATTATGGGAACAATTTGGTGTGATATGTATCAGAGCCGAAGGTTGCAAAGGCAATGAACCTTTTCAACGCCTAAAATTCGATTGTAAACACAAAATAACGAACCATTTTCTTGTGTACAATTGCAATTGATAAGAAAAAATGAATGGTATACGCGTTTATATTACGTCTGGCTCTATATTGTGATGATTGTGACATCGAGACGGCAAACCCGACTATTCATAAATGCCATCAATAATCGTCTGTATTAAACTAATGCATTAGGATGGGAAATAATTTCAATTCGACTTCGCTATGTCTATCCTTCCGTCTGATGACAATTATCCCAAAAGCTTTAAAATTTTCATATACCCCCCAAGATGGCGGACAGGCGTTATTTGTACATCAATCCGTCTGGAACAGTTTAGAAAAATGAACAATATTGCAAATACCTCGCCTTATTACTAGTGACAGAAACATATGCTATTGCAGTATCGTCAAGTGCTTGAATTATTGCTTAGAAATGATTATAAACATCGAAGCTTTAGATATGTAACTAGAAAACGTATGATTTTACAACTTTTCCCCGTGAATCTTCATCTAAGTTAGATGACGAAACACTATGAAGACTATATTTTTCCATATGAAAGACATTCAAATTCTCGAAAATAAGAAATTCTCCAACGCTTAAGTTCAATAAGGATAAGGACGTACGGAACAGACATGCTTTGGCGTATGGTTTCAATTTTGTGAAATGGAATGGATAACGTTTGCTCTCTGTTCTGTTGTAATTTTGTAATACCTATAAAATTTTGGTTTTGATCAAAAGAAAACGATTCTTTCTTATTATTAGGACATAATTGGAACGGTAAGAATATCGGTTCGCTAGCGTTCGTTTGCTAGGGTAGTAAGATGTGAAAGCAATCATAATGACTTGATAATCAAAACCATTACTTTTCCATGTAGATTGACTTTCCTTTTCAGTTCGTGATCGATTGTAGTAAAATGATTTTTAGGGACTTTCGACACTTCAAAAGCCTTTTTCTAACAAGAACGACTTTCGATGAGAATCGTTTAATGTTACGTAAATTGCCAATTGGCCTATAGAGTATATTTTCATTTTGAAGAACATAAGGTTTACATATTTTTTTCTCCATATTTCTTTCCTTTCCTTTTTTTTTTTTTTTTTTTTTTTTTTTTTTTTTTTTTTTAA